TGTACCACTGACTGACTTAGGCAACTCTCATAACCTGCAAAAAGATTTTTAAAGCAAAACTAATAATAAAGGTTTCTCAAAGAATCACTGAATATGAGCAAAAATAATAGCTATTAAAGGGCTTTACATGGTACCACACCAAGATTACAGGAATAGCATATATCCGGTTTCTTAGTGGATAGACTCAAGGGAACTAATTAGCTAGACTAGCGTTTCCCAAAGTGTGTTACCAAAAAGAAGGCAAAAAATTATATGATATTTCCCACATTAATTTGAGTAGAGTCACTTCATGGAACTTCTAGGAGTGCTATTCCTCAGAATACACTTTAAAAAAGAGTATGGTGACTTAAGGAAATTAATTAATTGCCATATTTGAAAATGGCATTTCAAAATACTCTTAACACTGTCAACACTAGTGCTAATAAATATTTTTAACTTTTAATGTGATATTTTTTTCCTCCTCTCCACACAGGGACTTTCGAAGGGAGGCGCCACCTATTCTAGGTGTTACCACACAGTTTCATGCATGGTGGCATATTTTAACTGGACTGGGTTCTTATCTTCACATCCTTTTCAGGTAGGAAATGGAGTTGTTGTTGTTGTTGTTGTTTTAACCTAGTATTGAAGGGTTGTTTTGTTTTTTGTTTTTCCTCTTAGAATAGAATGGTGTAAGTATGAAATGTTAAGAGATAGATCAGGAACTTATGTTCCAGTTTTGCCTCTGCCACTGGATGACCTTAAAAAGTCCCTCTCCAGCTAAGAGCCATGGCACACATATAGCCCAGTTCCCCACCAGGCTAAGGCAGGAGGATGGCAAGTTCATGGCCATCCTGAGCAACATAGCAGACCCTGTCTCAAATTTTTAAAAAATAAATTAAAAGGGCTGGTGATGTATGTAGCTCAGTCAATGCTAATAGTGGACTTGCATAGCATATACCATTCTTCAAGTTCCATCCCCGGCACCACAAAAAAAATATAAAATAAAATAAAAAGAAGAATACAAAGAAGCTGGGTGCAATGGCACAATCCCAGTGACTGGGGAGACTTGAGTCAAGAGGATCACAATTTCAAGGCCAGCCTAAGCCATTTATCCAGTCCCTAAGCAACTTAGCAAGACCTGT